GCGACGCAGAAAAATTTTCTGGGACCGCCGCGACAGAAAAATATTTAACCCAGACCGGCGCGACCGAAAAAAAATTAACGGCGCTACCAATATATTTTAAATTATTTTGTACAGTTCATTCAATTTGAATTTTGACGTTTTCTTTTGCTAATCAGTTACGCAATACGCGTTTTTTTATATAAAAAAAAACAAATTTCGCTTCTCATAAGCTTTCCATTTTCATCTTGTGTTCATTTTCAAAATTTGGGCCCTGCTCATTGTGATGTCAAGTCCTCAAAAACGGTAATATTTTTCTCCAAATGTCTCTCATCGGAATTTTGATTGAAATCAAGTGGAGCTTCCAAGCCCGAAACTTATGTTTATACAATCCAGACTGTTCCGACTTAAGGTCCAGGTTATTATGATTCACTTTTAGACTGCTGGGAATAACTTTCAGCTTATCGCGAACAGGGGCGGATTTAAAATGGGGGCGACGCTCAGAGATTCGAACCCCTCACCAGCCAAAATGTCCACCTTTCGTATTATTTTACGACATCCTTTTTCGGCCGACTAACCCTAAATATTTATAAGGCGCCATTTATTATTTAATATATGATAATTTTGAAGGGGAGCGCGTGCCGAAGAAAACGCGAGTTTTTGGTCAAAAAAAATCCAAAAAATGTTCAAAAACCTCATTTCTGACCTGTTTTTTTCTTCTTCAAAATATTGCCTCAGGCGAAAAGTTCGTGTCGAAATAGGTTTCTATAGTGTTCTAGTTGCGCTCGGAAAACCAAGTTGGTCGACATAATTTAAAAAAACTTTGGTCGACATAATTTAAAAAAATTTCTGAAATCCCCCCTAGAAAATCCTAGATCCACCACTGCTCGCGATTAATTTCCAGACAATGTCGCGACTTTTTTCAGACTATTGCAATTATTTTTTAGACTTGCAACCGGAATTCAAATGTTTTGTTCCCACTTTCGAAGAAAGTGATGGAATATATGTGCTTGGGTTGGTTTTTTCTCCAGACAAATTTCGACTTTTAACTAGCCATTGTGACGGAACTGAAAAGTGTTGTTGTCCTGAGCTCAAATTTAAAAACATAATTCACCTGTGGTCGTTTTAGTAAAATTATGGGGGTTCATTTTGGCTAATTCGGAACAATTAACGCGCGATATATTGCTCGCTCTAAACGCGTGAGCGGAGATTTAATCCGTCTTAGCAACCGTTCCAAATTAGTTGAAGCAGGCTTTATGCCATATTTTGTTTGTTACTAGGAGCAACAAATTATCACTTTGTACTTCAAATGGCTTTTTTGTAGTATGAGGGGATGCTTTTTTTAGAAAATTTGTTCATTTTTTTAAATGCACCAATTTTTATAAAGCGAACACTGCTCTATAGTCCTTAAAAGGCAGTCAGAGCAATCAACGCCGTGATACAAGCAGTCTTGTAAAACCTTGTTGGCGACTATAAAAAGCTGCCCAGACTATGAATTTGTGGCCATGGAAAAAACGAGGCGCGCCTTTGAAAGCCTACAACTCAGCTGCAGACCTCAAATCAGGGTAAGCTGATTTCTACAAAATTTTTTGATCTAAGAGATGTCTTAGAGTCATTTTGGGTTTCATTTTGTTCGTTTTGATGATTTGGCACTGATTGCAAAGAATCTACAAACTCAAATTCTAGAAAAAACTTTGCCAGCAACCGTTTGGCTAATATTGAAATATAAAAAATGTCAATCGACCAATTGAAGATAATTAGGGCGCGCTATTGCTTTCATTGCGTTGTGCTCAAATAAAATTTTGGCAAGATGTTTTTGCAAAAGGTTTTTCAATGATTCAATCATATTGAAAAGTATCTTACCCTAAATATACTCTTCTCACAAATTTTGGGCTGATGAGTCTAGCGCGGTGAGTGAAGCCGACTAAGACGAGCATGGTTTCAGCCGGTATGAGTATATGAGCGGGAAAGTTTTGAGGTGTTTCGTCTGCCTCATAATCAATTATAGTTTCAAGTTCGACAAAAAACTAGTAAAGTGTTTTTGGTGGGCAGTTTTTAGAAAAAATTAAAAACCAAAAATACTGTAAGGACTCACCAAAAATATTATAAGGACCCTGTTTGGTCAAATCTTTCTGTGCCCCCGCCAAAGTTTTTAAGCAAAACAGGCAAAAACAGATTTTTGGTCGTGGAAATAACACGACTCGTCTTTGAAAGCCTACAAAAAAGCTGCGGGCCTCGAATCAGGGTCGGCTGATTTCTAAAAAAGTTTTTTGGCTTAAGATATGTTTTCGAGTCACATTCAGTTTGGGTTTCATCTTTATTCGTTTTGATGATTTAACGCCGATTGCAAAGTATTTACAAACTCAAATTTTAAAAAATACTTTGCCTGCATCCGTTTTTTGGAATACAATGGAAATATAAGAAAGTCAATCGACCAATTGAGGATAATTAGGGCGCGGTATTTCTTTCATTGCGTTGTCACAAAAAAATTGGCAAGATACTTTTGCAAAGAGTTTTTCGATGGTTAAATCATATTGAAGAGTCTCTCACCCTCAGACTACTATTATCACAAATTTTAGACTGATGAGTCTTGCGCGGTGGGTGAAGCCGACTAAAACGAGCATGGTTTCAGCCGGCATGAGTATATAGGTGAGAGTGTTTTGAGGTGTTTAGTTTGCCTCATAATCGACTTAAGATTTATTTTCGACACAATACTAGTGAAAATTTTCTAGGGGGGAGGTGTTTTTTCGAAAAACTTTTAAATCGAAAATACTATAAGGACTCTCCGAAAAAACTATAAGGACGCTATTTTGTCAAAATTTTCTGTACCGCAGTCAATTTTAAAATAAAACAGATAAAAACTGGTTTTTGGTCGTGGGGTTTCATCTTTATTCGTTTTGCTGATTTGGCGCTGATTGCAAAATATTTACAAACTCAAATTCTAGAAAATACTTTGCCAGCAACCGTTTGGCTAATATTGAAATATAAAAAATGTCAATCGACCAATTGAAGATAATTAGGGCGCGCTATTGCTTTCATTGCGTTGTGCTCAAATAAAATTTTGGCAAGATGTTTTTGCAAAAGGTTTTTCAATGATTCAATCATATTGAAAAGTATCTTACCCTAAATATACTCTTGTCACAAATTTTGGGCTGATGAGTCTAGCGCGGTGAGTGAAGCCGACTAAGACGAGCATGGTTTCAGCCGGTATGAGTATATGAGCGGGAAAGTTTTGAGGTGTTTCGTTTGCCTCATAATCAATTATAGTTTCAAGTTCGACAAAAAACTAGTAAAGTGTTTTTGGTGGGCAGTTTTTAGAAAAAATTAAAAACCAAAAATACTGTAAGGACTCACCAAAAATATTATAAGGACCCTGTTTGGTCAAATCTTTCTGTGCCCCCGCCAAAGTTTTTAAGCAAAACAGGCAAAAACAGATTTTTGGTCGTGGAAATAACACGACTCGTCTTTGAAAGCCTACAAAAAAGCTGCGGGCCTCGAATCAGGGTCGGCTGATTTCTAAAAAAGTTTTTTGGTTTAAGATATATTTTCGAGTCACATTCAGTTTGGGTTTCATCTTTATTCGTTTTGATGATTTAACGCCGATTGCGAAGTATTTACAAACTCAAATTTTAAAAAATACTTTGCCTGCAACCGTTTTTTGGAATACAATGGAAATATAAGAAAGTCAATCGACCAATTGAGGATAATTAGGGTGCGGTATTTCTTTCATTGCGTTGTCACAAAAAATTGGCAAGATACTTTTGCAAAGAGTTTTTCGATGGTTAAATCATATTGAAGAGTCTCTCACCCTCAGACTACTATTATCACAAATTTTAGACTGATGAGTCTTGCGCGGTGGGTGAAGCCGACTAAAACGAGCATGGTTTCAGCCGGCATGAGTATATAGGTGAGAGTGTTTTGAGGTGTTTAGTTTGCCTCATAATCGACTTAAGATTTATTTTCGACACAATACTAGTGAAATTTTTCTAGGGGGGAGGTGTTTTTTCGAAAAACTTTTAAATCGAAAATACTATAAGGACTCTCCGAAAAAACTATAAGGACGCTATTTTGTCAAAATTTTCTGTACCGCAGTCAATTTTAAAAATAAAACAGATAAAAACTGGTTTTTGGTCGTGGGGTTTCATCTTTATTCGTTTTGCTGATTTGGCGCTGATTGCAAAATATTTACAAACTCAATTTTTAGAAAATACTTTGCCTGCAATCGTTTTATGGACTAAAATGGAAGTCTAAAAAACGTCAATCGACCAATTGAGGATAATTAGGGCGCGCTATTCCTTTCATTGCGTTTTGCAAAATAATATTTTGGCAAGATACTTTTGCAAAGGATTTTTCAATGGTTAAATCATTTTGAAGAGTTTCGAAAAAGGTTTAAGGAAAATACTATAGCACCCTTCAAAAATACCCTATTTTGTCAAAAATTTCTGCGCCGCAGGCAAATTAAAAAAACAGGCCAAAAACGGCATGGCGCGCGCTCCCCCTTTAAGATTAGTTATATTGGCACCAAAGGCGCCGTTAGAAAAAATTTGAGCTTGCTCAGCCAAACTTTGAAATCGTATAAATATACCAAAGGTGGGACCATTTGGAAACATTTGGCAACCAGAACTGAGGGGGAGGGGGCGGTTGAACCCCCCCCCCCCCCGGGCACGCTCCTGGTGCTGCCATAGATATAATTATCCTGGTTTGTATGTATTCACTGATTTTTCTTGATTTATTATTGACCTGATCAGGATTGCTTACTTATTTACAAAATAATCTCTTCTGAAGTAATGAATAAAAAATCTGGAATCGTGTCTCATTTGCGTCATAGTCAGTTTTCAGCAAGTTCATTACTAAGTCTGTTATAAATCTCCTGGCTCCTATTTTTCTACTGGTGCTCTATGATTTTTTATTGGCTTGATCATGGTTAGTTATTATTAATAATTTACAGAATAACCTTCCGAAATAATGAAAATAACAGTTGGAAAGAAATTAGAGTTCTTATCTGTTTGCACAATTCATCTTACCTTTTGTGTATATCTGGACTCGAGTGCCTTCAGAAAGTGGAAGATGACACTTCTCTTCTGATCCGAGGAGTTACCGCGACTGAGGATCACGTGGGGAGGTATTCTTCCCAAGTTGCACTCCTGCAAAAGCCAACAATAGTAAGGGTAGCCGGTCACTATGCAAGTAGAAAAGAATGTTCCGACCATAGTCTTAATAAATGCAAAGAAAGTTCATTCAAATTAGTGTCATTTTTTCTGCGTGCTGTGAATAAAAGATGTGAACAAAAAAATAGAAACATAGCCAATCGAAGATTGGTAAAAAGAAATGAACGCAAGTAAAGATAAAAAACACACTGTTGAAAAAAATCTCAACTTTCGAATTTCAAAGAAACAAATAGATGCCCTTTAAGCTCTTTGTTTTCGAGAACATTTTATAATTGGCACTTTTTTGATAACATGAACACAACTAGAGAAAACTGGATCAATAGGTAAAGTTTTTATTCCGCAGGAAATATAAAAATTAAATTTCACTTTCGAAACTAGAAATCGTTTCACGTTTTTTCGCGCCATTTCTACGTTTGTATTCGGAGAGTGCTATTTACGTAATTTTAAGCAGAAGAATTTCAATTGAACTCAAAAAGTGCATGCCTACAGAATTGCATTAATAAATACATCAATATGTATGAATGCACAGCTGTAATTATTAGAGACTTTTCTTGAAAAAAAAAACAAATTAAAAAATCAACAAGACCTATATAAGAGTCTTCACTACGTTCATTACTCTTTATAAGGCATATTCGACAGTCATAGTAATGTAGGTCTATTGGAAAAAAGAATTTTTATAGAAAAAGTAACCTAATAAGAAAGAAAAGAAATCGTTAAAAAAAAATTTTTAACTTTCAATTTTTTTGCAGAAAATTTTGAATGTTTTTGATCCCAAAATGAGGCAAAAAAACTCCAAAAACTAACTTTATTCGAATAAAGTTTTTTTTATTTACGGCCTAACTTAAGCATAAACAAGGGTAATAAGCTATTGTAGGCCTGAATGCTCATCTTATTACATTTTTCTGAACACTGGAAAACAAAAAGTTGAAAAAAGCTAAAACACACCCGAACACAAAGTTCAGCCCCAATTTCAATGGTCGGAACTACAGGCAGCATTATCACGCCCAAAAAGCAACACTACTGAGAAAAGCACTTGAGCATAGTCGGCCAGCATTCCTGATTGAAGGATACAAATACCAGTGCAGAAGCAATACATGACAAATATAGCATGTTAAATGAGAAGAGGCGAAGCGTTAAAACAGTTTTAACACAAACATTACCAGCGGTAACTTAGCAGACAATATTTGTGTAGACACCCGTTGAGCCTAAAAAATATGGTAAAACATTTTCAGGCGCAAAAAAAGTTTGAAACTCAAGTTGCGTTGCAAATAAACACATCAAAACTGTTTCCGCTCTTCACGCGACGTTATATGAGGCTACTAAACCGAAATAACATAAACTTAAACCATTTAATCTGATGATATACTCGAAGTAGAAACAAATGAAAGCAAAAATTATACAGAACCTCAAATCTTACATATTGCAGCATTTCGTATAAAAGATGAGATTTTGAAATGGCAAAATAAGCTGAACCACTTTTCAGTTTCAAAAAAGCATATATGCATAAAAGCATCTACCAATTCAATCATTGGCATCTAAATATAGAGTTTGCGTTCTCCAAGTTCCAAAAAATGTAATTTGACTACCCGAGTAGTACGAACTGCTTTAATAGCAACAAAACATAACGCCTGGAATCTTTTATCTTATGCAGACAGAAACGGATCTTTTCGAAATTTTGGAAATGGGAGCATAATGCTTGAATCCGATTTGTAGGAATTAATAATTGCGAACCAAAATCTGAATCTTAGTTTAAAGCAGCCCGGGTCGAGGTTTTGACTATTTGCTCTGACCAGGGCGACCAGAAACCCGAATACTTTGACTCAGTTTGACCGCCAGTTCGACCATAGACCGTGCGCGATTATGGATTTTTGGTCGAATTATAACATCTGGTTTGACCACTTCAGTCAAAAGATAAAGCCAAAACTTGGACCCTAGAGCAGCTCAGTTGACAGAAAAGACTAGGTACCCGGAATAGAGAGGAGTCAGTGGCTTCTGTGAGGTTGGCGTGGAGGGGGAGGGGACTGCAGAGGAGTCTGAAAAGGGAGCGTCTGTAGTTCCAGCCCCACTCCGAGTAGCTCTGCATGTTGGTGTTGTCAAAGAACGAGCTCCATGTTGTCACAGCCACATCCGGGTAGTGCTCGTGCATGCATCTACACATGACACACAAACACAATCAAGTAATGATAAACGAAAAATACATCCCAGAAAAATATTATAAAAGGAGAAAAACTAAGTTTTTTTTTGCTGTGTTAAATAGCATGGAAACGAAAGACTAGCAGCAGACTGTTTATCGGGTCGTAGATGAAAACGGTAGTAAAAATCCGTAGGTTGTTATTTGAGTACGTTTTGGACACCAAACCATCACTTCTGAATCACAGCAAAAATACAAAATAGCGCCTATTTTAAGTTCAATCGCGTCTCAAATTTGACTTATATTGGTGCTGAAAGTAGCTTCAAACAGTTATCCAAAAAAGGATTACAAAACATATTTTAAGCATGAAAACCTCAAAAATGACGAAGAATGTCCCCAGAGCCATCTAACTCCAGCGATGATTATTGATTATAATGATGTAAATTAAAAACAGTTTTTACTATGTTTCGAAGTTTTATGTATTCAGAGTAATTCAAAAAGATTCTCATTTTTGAAGTATACCTGAATGCACCGACGCTGTCGAAGAATATGTTGTCGTGATCTGCCTCGCACTTGTCTGCTTCCCCGTACCCACTCGCACACAGCCCACAAAACCTATTTGCTAGTCGAGAAGAAGACGACGACGACGACGAAGACGACGAAGATTTGGTCTCTTTGTCGCCTTCATATCCAAAGAGGCGCCACCAATCATTCTGTTCTTCTTCATTATAACCCTAAAAGTCACAGAGGATTGAAAACTTTTGCAGAGAGGGCGTATTTTCAAAAATGGTTAAATTTCAGCTTGATGATGTCCATTTCTCAAGCTCCTGATACACATTAAAGAGAACTTACGTTGCAAAAAAAATTTCTATGTCACAGCCAAATAATTAAGACAACGGCAACATTTTGCTTCGCGTTTTTTTTCGCGCGGGTTTCGTTCTCTCAACATCAGCTTCTGATATACTATATAACTAACTGCGTCCATCCATCATTGTCAAAAATGCATTAATTCGATTCGAATTGACTTTTATTTGAAAAATTTATCATTTTTTAAAGCAAATACTACTCCATAGACTTGCGGAATACTCAGGGCTTCGCATTGATATGAGCAGTCTTGTTCATTCTTATTGTTAAATCATAATTGCTTGGATACAAAATTAATTACAATGCAATCTTTTTGCAGTACGGTAAAATCAGATGAAAGCATCATAGACCATAGCCAAATAACTAAGAAAACGGCAATTTTTTGCTTCGAGTTTTTTTCCGCGCGGGCTTCGTTCTCCCAAAATCCGCTTCTGCTATACGACACAACTAACTACGGCTACCCGCTCTGTCAAATATGGATTAAGATCGATTCGAATCAATTTAATAGAGATAAAAAAGATAGTATGAAACTCGATAGTATAAAACCGATAGTATACGTATTCTTAAAAAGATCGATTTCATTGTCTTAAAATTTGAGGTAAATCGATGTTTATGGATTTTTGCAAGAAATTTTAGAACACAAACATCTCTAAAAATTTGATTTATCTCGACTTAAATCAGTTTTTAGGTGTTTTTAAAAACTTATCTTTTAGTCTTATGCAGTTTACAACAAATTTAGTTAATTATTACTTTTGCTCTGGCCGCAAATCGGTAATTTCAGGGGGATCCTTTTAAGATTTTGTAATCCAATTGATCCCCAGTCTACAAAAATTTGGCAAAAAAACTTATTCAAATGTCAGTTTTGAGATCAACTTTTGGCGTCAATTTTTGAAGCGAATCAACAAAAAAAAATTGGGAACAACTACTTTTGCTTTTACATAATTTTGCTTTTGCATAAATTTCTATTTTTGCTTTTGCATAACTTGAACAACTATTTTTGCTTTTGCAAAAATTTTCTGCATACTTGAGCTTGTATTTTTTTTCAGGTCAAATTTCAGAGCAAAAAGTCAATTGAAAAGCATTCTTTACAATTTTTCCTAAATTATTCACATAACTTGAGAGTCGATCAAGTCAAGAAAATCTGTATATAATCTGTAAAATTGATTGGTGTACACAATGAGCGAAATCAATTTAAAGAGCTTTGAACGACTTTAAGTCGGTTTAAAATCAATTTGAATTGAATTTGTTTCAACTAGAAAAACAAGCTAATTAAATCAATTCAATATCCAAGTCCAACTTAATTTTGGGAACATTTTGAATCGCCATATTTTTTTATACTAAAATCGATCTCAAAATAAACTGCACATTTTTTTGACTCTCTAATTAATCGCAATCCGGTTTTGACAGTCCGGGTATTACATAACTAATATCAACAGAAAAATACAAACAAATGGATTGGCTTCAGTTTTCCATATTTATGTTTCATAATTTGATTAGATCTGTGGTACTTAGGTAACAGAAAAGTACCAGGAAAGGTAACAGAAAAAATCTAAGTGGTCTAGAAGGGGCGGATTTAAAAAAACATAACTCTGAGGACCGTATTGTACGCCGACCAAATTTTTTCTATGAAATCCAGCGTTTGCTAGAAAAATTTCAAAAACAATGCTCGCGTATTTTTGAGAAAATCAACACAAACTAATAGGGGCTAAAAACGGCTTAGAAAAACTTTCAGCTTGATTGCCCAAGATAAAGATTTGGAATTGGTACCAAAGATGAAAGCCTTCTTTGGTACTAACTCCAGATCTTTATTTTGGGCAATCAAGCTGAAAGTTTTTCTAAGCCGTTTTTAGCCTATTAGTTTGTGTTGATTTTTTCAAAAATACGCGAGCATTGTTTTTGAAATTTTTCTACCAAAAGCTGTATTTCATAGAAAACATTTGGCCGGCGTACAATACGGTCCTCAGAGTTATGTTTTTTTTTAATCCGCCCCTTCTCGACCACTTAGATTTTTCTGTTACCTTTTCGGGTACTTTTCTGTTACCTAAGTACCACAGATCTAATCAAACTTATGAAATATAGGTAAGCAAAACTGAAGCCAATCCATTTGTTTGTATTTTTCTGTTGATTTCAATTATGCGGTACCTGGACTGACAAAATTCTGTGAAACAAAACTTTTATTTACAGCTTTAATTTCAGCAGGGAACTCGTATTCCCATTGACGCCAAAGTGTAAACAAAACTGCTAGTATCAGAACGAGACCCTGAATGTTTTAGCTGTTAACTTCTTTGAAATAGTCTACTTTTATTTTAAATACTTTGAATAGTTTCGGCCACGGATCGGTAAAAAATTGCCATGATGACTGGGTAGCATGAAACAATAGTCTCGACCTGGAGAAAAAAAACCTTTTTTTGGTAAAATCAGCTTTGGTTGTGCCATAAAATGTTAATGTTGAATTAAAGTGATAACTTTTCAGTTATTTAACTTCGATCACAGCCAAACTGCACTGTAGAGAGTTTGATACGAGTGTACTGAACAAACAAGGAAATAGCACTGATTTCCACTGCGAGATAAGCTTGATAAATCCGTATGTACAGAAGTATTTTAGAAGCAAAATTTTGGTACCGAGAAGTTATGCGAGTTGAGTTTCGACTACGAAGCAATTTTTCAAAAAAAAATTGTACACAGAAGCAAATCTTTGCTTCACAAACACTACCGAGAACACGACAAAAGCAGCTCTATTCAGTGCAATAAGAAAATTTCGAAATAAGTCTCTAATCAGTGCAAAATTGGAACCCAATGCGACCTAGAGATTATGAATCTCACGCACTAACCACTAATCCATGCAAGCTGAATGCATCCCAAAACTAGCCATAAATAAAGCAGAGAACAGATAATTTGAAATTTCCAATGTTATAGAGAAAATTCCAAATAAGTGAGCAATTTTCATGAACACTTTTATTTGCGAGTGAGGTTAGAAAAAAAACAAGGTTCGTAGTAATACACTACGCTGATCGCTAGTCTAAATATCAATTTTTGGTACTCTATCTTGTACATTTTATCATTCGTTTAATTTTTTTTGCAGATAATTTTTTTTGGGGGAAAAATGATGACAAAGCTAGCAAGCAGTTAAATAGAAAATTGTCAATGAACGCCAAGGAAACCAAAACATATATGTTTTTTTTCCGAACATTCTAGAAACTTGCGAAGTTCGACAAAAATTATATTACATTGAAGCTTTTTTGGATCTTTACAAGGGGGGCGTAGGTTCGTTACCAGGTAAATTTTTCGCTTTATCTTTGTATTAACTCTTTATAGAGGTGGCAACTCGTTGTTAAACACCATAGGCGGAGGGGGATAATTGAAGAGATCAGATTTTTCGATTCAGAAAAGTTTCATGGTTGACTAGCTCAATTAAAGAAAAGTGAGTAAATCAATGGTTTATTTTTTCCGCGGAAAATCTAAAAACTAAAAACCAATTTCGAAACGAAAAAACATTCACAATTTTTCTAGCATTTTGCACTTTTTATTGAAAAAACTCTGGCTAGTTTGAAATAAAATTCAGAAGAAATCGGCACTCAAGCCGCCAGCAGTCAAATATGAGCGTGAACAACTTTAAAACTTGTTCCTGAAAGAAAAACGCAAACAAAGAACAAAACGCGACCGATAAAAGTGTCTTCACTACGTTCAATGACATATTGAAATGATAGTTGTTTCAGGAGACCAAGTTGATATCCAAACACCCAAAATGCTATTCAAACAGTTCCATACAAATTGTCTACAATTGTCTATTACCATACTTCGCGAATTGTATGGCTAGGCTTTATTGTGCGAAAATGAGAGCAAAAGTGTTAAAATTTTAAACAGTAGGCAAAGCTGCGCTTCGCAAACACTCGCGAGAAAGTGAAGTAAGAAAATGTAGAGCCTCGAATTGGCAAGAATTCGCTCGCCCACGTCGTGGATTCGATCTGCGACCAAGATTACGAGTCTCACGCACCTACTTTTCAGCCACGGACACTTCATAAATCACAAAAACTAGGCACAAATAAAGCATAGAGCAGATGCTATGAAATTTCCAATGCTACAGATTGTGAAATTATAAAGAACGTTATATCTTGAAAAACAAAAGGATTTGAGCTATAGTACTTGCGGGCCAGATTTGGAACCCTTGAGTGTGCGCTGATAGCACATCACCATGAAGTTGAGAATTTCAAATTTTTTTAACAAACACTCACAAAAAGTTTTATAAGTTTGCATTGCTAAATAAAAAAAAACTAGTTCACGCTTCAGCAGCTTTCACGCTTCATTAGATAAATAGTTCAAAAAATAGAATGCCTTAAAAATAAAAATTATTGAATTCAACGAAACATAATGAACGTTGCAAAATTTTAGCAATTTACTAAAATGTCAACATAGGGACTTCTTTAATACGAGTCAAATAAAACGCCAATTAATTAGTGTATAGAAAAAGACATCACTAGAGGTGTAGATTATTTCCTTATGGAAATTGAGACGCCTACACAACACCCTACCATAGGTTGGCATATTTTGAACTTATCTCTACTGTTTTGATGCATAGGCTTTTAACAGAGACGAGGCTTCGCTTCGCAACCACTAGCGAGAACACGACAAAAAGCAGCTCTATATGGTGCAATTTTTTTTTAAAAAAAAGCCTCCAAATAAGCCTCCCAAAGCAGAGAACAGAGGCTTTGAAATTTCCAATGCTACATATATAATATATAACTTACTGCGTCTACAAGTAGTGACAAATATGCATTGAAGTCAATTTGAATTGATTTTTATTTGAAAAAATTATCATTTTTTAAAGCATATACTACTCCATAGACTTTCGGAATATTTAGGGCTTCGCATTGATACGAGCAGTCTTGTTGATTCTTATCGTTGAATCCTTGTTGCATGAATACAAAAATAATGCTGATCAATCTCTTTACAGTACGGTATATTCCTTTCATTAAAAATGAGGTTAAAATCAGCTGAAAGCATCATAGACCATAGCCAAACACCTCAGAAAACAATAAATTTTTGCTTCGAGTTTTTTCCGCGCGAGCTCCCCCTAAAAATTAGTATAGATTGGCGCCGAAGGCGCCTTTAGAACATTTTTAAGGTCATTAGGCCAAAAATGGATATCTCAAAAAAGTACAAAAGGGGGACCCTTTGGGTCGGCAGGGGGTCGAATCCCTGAGGGGGCGGGGCGTTCGCAACCCCCCTACCTAAATCCGCTACTGACTGTGATGACTGTATGAGAATTGGGATGACTGGCATTTTTTGTAATGCGGGTACTTTGAGTGTAACTATTTTGAAGCTTTTTACAGAGTCCCAGATTGAGAGCGATGTTGCCTTACCGTCCATCTCTAGCGAAGAGATCCAAGTCGAGTGAGGGGGAGGAGTCGGCCTCTACTCCTAAATCTGCTCACCATTAGGCATGGTTAAGCGGGCGGATGTTGAACAAACCGCCATATCTGGAAGCCAAAACTACCCCAGAGTTACGTACTATTTGCATAACAACAGTGACAATCAGTTGTTATGTTAAATAAAAATATTAGTTTTTGGCTTGTTGACGTGGTAAGTCTATTTTCGGCTTGTGGGCCTGCCACCGGTTACGTGATATTTGACCATATCCAAACTGAGAAACTATCCGCCCTCTTTTTGCAGAAGAAGAATAGGAATGCTTTTATGATTAAAAATTTTTTCCCAGTTATCTGAGCGCTTTTATCCATAACCAGTATTTTTTTGCGCTTTTGAGTTCTCAACACATTCATTATGATTGTAAGTTTGTATTTAAGAAATATTTGTAATGCGTGAATGGTGAAACTCCCATATCCAATAAAAATATCAAAAGTGATCGCATGGTTAAGAAGTAGGAATTGAAACTTACACTAGAAGTAGGTCCCTTAGTCTCATTTGAGTTTATCGAATGCTAAAAGATAGGAAATACGTTTTGCCCCTCACATATATGTTTAACTCCTCTTAAAATTATTGGCAACTTTCGCCCCACTTTAACAGCAGAAGTTGTGAATCACAATAAAGAGGCAAAATGACACACTTAAACTTATAGGAGCGAAATAAGTCCGGGAGAAATGTATGTGGACCAAAAATTAGGTAACAAGGTTCAGCAAAAAACGGAAGCTACGCTAGCCGCCGAAAAAGAAAATGTGTTCCTCCGTGACCCAAAATGCGCCAGTTTGGGTTTACGAGAGAATTGAATTAACTGTTTTGCAGATTTACAAAAACTATTGGCAACGTTTGTCTCAGAAAATCAAATTGGTCACTTAAAAAGTTGTCATTTTTTTAATAAGACCTCTAGCCAAACTCAGAAAACGTACCACTGCACACAAGAAAAATTGATATGTGAGTACAAAAGCAGACAAGACTGCTCGTATCAGGGCGAAGCCCTGAATGTTCCCACTGCCTTTTAAGGTCTATGGAGCAGTAATAGCTTGAAAAAATTAAAGGTAATAAAAATAAAATAAATTTTTTTTCAAAAAATTTGAGATTTTTTGTGAAAATCATCCCCCACACGGCGTATAAAGTACAAAGTGACAAATTTCGCTCCAAGTAACAAATAACTTATGGCAAATAAGCTTCCTTCAACCAATTCAGAACCATTTTTAAGACTTACGCGTTAATAGCGCGAAATAAATCGCGCGTTAATTGTGTCAAATTGGCCAAAATTGAAATCTTTAAACCCCCATAACGTTACGAAAAATGATCACAGGTAAAATATCTTTTCAAATTTAAGCTCAAGACAACAATACCTTTCGAATGATATAAAAAAAATTCCGTCAAAAATGGCTAGTTAAAAAGTCGAAATTTGTCTGAAGAAAAAAAACCCACCCCGAGCACAAATATTTCGTTACTTTCGTTACGAAAGTCGGAACAATAAAACTAATAATGGTTGAGTTACATTTGGAGTCAGAGAGGCAATTTTTGGAAGTACAAGCAGATACCATTGGGGTGAATAAAACATAGAAATAACTACATTGAAAAATCTTGAAGTATAGAAATAAATACCTCAAAGTAGTCAGTGAATCCGGGAATGCAAGAAGAGTGCACGTGTTTCTTCAGCTGGGCCACGTGATCACAAACATGTTCTTCCCCCTCTTCGCCCAATATGTTTTTCTTCTTCTTTTTGGAGAGTGAATTAATTAAATGGGTGAAGATTAGGTAGGGTGCAGAGCCCACCCATGGTAGACAGAGGGTTTTGATGTCTCCACGGCTGCAAAACAATTAAAATTTAGAAATAATTGAATTTTCAAGAAGCAGTTATTTAAAAAAGAACGCTTTAGTTAAATATAACTCTCAGTTCCAAATTTTTTCTTTCAGAACTATAGTTTTTGGGTGAAAGAATCAGAACGAAAATATTTTGCCCGAAACTGTTCGTTTTGACATCGGAAAACACATTTCACTATAGGTCGAACCGTCAAACCAATAAACCAATCTAATTAGCCTAAAGTTAGCCATTAACTTGGTCTAACTTTAGTAAAAGAAACAGGATATTTAGATGGAAGTTATCTGGGACCTATTTTACTATTCCCCTTTGTGGTACCTACTAAATTAACCAACACCTTCAAGAGAACTAAGTCAATGGTTAAGCATATGCGTATTTTTTACATCATAACGTAACTCCCCTCCCCCTCCCCCTCCCCCTCCCCCTCTCCCTCCCCCTCTCCCACCCGCTTAGGGGGATAAGAAACAGGGGGACAGAAACGAATTACGTGAAGTCGTCAAGTGCGGCGTGGCTGTTTCGCTTTGTGATGGCTATGACGTAATCAGTGCCATTGGGGTGCGAGTTGTTCACGAGGGCCAGTGGCTCCAAACTGAGTCTCTTCATGGCTCCCAACGCGAATGCAGGCTCACTACTCATGACATCAGCTTCGTCGGCTGCTATGGCTTCAAAACAACCTAGAAGGAAATAACCTTGATGAAATTGAACAATCGCCGCGCATGAAATCTGAAGTGAGTCCTTCGTTGTCAAAAATTGGGCTCCCTTTCTGTTTTACGGATCAATTACAATTTGGTTTGTTCGCCGTTTCATTAACACCCATACAAATTAAGATCGAGTCTTCATCCCCCCCCCCCCCCCCCCGCTGAGTCACGACGACCGCAATCTTCCTCATTAGACAATTTCATACAATCAATGGGGGGTTAGATTCTTTAAGCTGAAATGTGAATTTAAATAATGTCAATTTAATTTAATTTGAAATTTTATGAAAACTGTTCAAGTTGACATTATAGGGAAAAATAGGATTTAAACTGTACTCTGTAGTGATGCCCTGAAGATGCATTGGAGTTTGAATTGCCAGAAGAAATGTTTCACCAACATCGTCAGAGACAACCTCGCACATTTGTCTGTCTCCGCCTCGGAAAACACACACCACCTGAATACAGAAAACAAAATTTGTATGATAAACGTTTTGCAATGTATTTTTATATTCTAGATTGCTTAATCCAAAAACAAACTTTCTGCTTTTGCCATTAGAGCAAGCATCATCAAATTGCAACAAGGATAGCAGGTTACTGTGCAAGTAGTACAGAAAGTTCCCACCATAATCTTAAACAGTTACAACAAAGGTTTTTTTTCAAATTAGTGTCTTTTTTTCGGAGTGATGAAAGAAGCTGAACAAAAAAGTAGAACTTGGGCTTATTCGACGGTCATATAAAAAGCAAATTCATCAACAATTTTTGTAGAAAAATGATTAGAAAAACGAAAGAAGAATAAAAAAAATTGTTTGCAGGTTTTTGAATTTTTGAAGTTTTTGATTCCAAAAAGGCCTTTAAAGAATAAAAAAACTTATGTCACGAGTAAAACTGAGTTTTTACATTTTGAATTAGGCTATTGTAACCTTTTTAGCCATTAAAATTAGCTATTGTAAGCCTGCTCGCTCACTTTATTTGCTCGAATTAAGATAAAAAAACCAAAAAATTCAAACCGGTTTTTCTCGAAAACTGGGAATTTTTTTGAAAATTTATAAACATCGTTCGAATCGCGAAGGTAAGGGCTTTAATATGATATATCACTCAGCTCTTTCCAATAATTAATTGTGGTCGCTTATTTTGCTTGCAAAACAAATAAAAAGAATAAAACTATAACAACCGAATACAAAGTTCCTCTCCATTTTTCAAATGTTCGGAACAATAAACATTTTTTTGTCAGATAAACAATTTGTTAATTAAAATCATTGCTTTATTTTGCTAATATACATTTCTAGTCAACATATATATTTTGCATTATAATTTCTTTTTCTATTCAAAGTTTATATTTATTTTGGTTGTAAAGCAACTGATAAGTTAAATTTTCTCTCTTTTTCCCTCAAAACATTTAATTAGTTTATATCGACTTGGTTGCCTCATCTTATATCGGCTTGGTTGCCTCATGTTTTGCCCTTTGAAGGGTGATAATGATATTTCATTTTATTGTGTGCTGTGGGGTATGTTAATTTTGAAATTTGATATTTTTGTTGCTCAATTTGTTCGTCGATAAAGTTTTTTCAGCTCAACGCACGTCAACCCAAGCTTTTTCGGCTTAGTTACCAATTCATAACTTTTGTTTCAAAGCTGCTTTACTGCTGATAATTGGTTGATGCTAACTTGATTTCCATATTACCTAATTGATGACGTGCTTTGCCGTTGTACGTTGTCTTTGTGTGGTATCACGTTTTACGCAAAAAATAACCCGAAGCCTTAGGTCCCAGTTTCTGCGTCAGAACAAAAATTACTCAATTAGCTAAGCTTTTCGTTTATTTTGAACATGAACGAAAGACTATTCGAAAATTTGTCAACAATCTGAAGAAACTCAAAGAAGGATTTTGTTTTTTACACAGGCGAGGCTTCGCTTCGCTTCGCAAACACTAGCGATAACACGACAAAAAGCAGCTCTATAACGTGCAATAAGAAAAACAAGAAAAAAGACTCGATTTAATAGAAAATCGGTTACGTCTGAGATTCAAACCTGCGACCTAGAATTTAAGAGTCTCACACCCTAACCACTCAGCCACGATCGCTTACTAGACATCAAAGACAAGCCACACATAAAGCAGAGAACAGCTGCTTTGCAGTTTCCAATGCTACAGTGAAATTTCCAAATAAGTGAACACTTAGAAAAAAGAGAATGTTCGTAATAACACACTAAAATTATTGAAGTGTAATAATCAGTTTTGGGATTAAAACGACTTAACATAAAAACAACAAAAAACATTAATTTACACAATTTTGACAGAAGCGAAGCATCATTTTGCAAACAATTCCGAAAAGGCAAAAATAAGTGTTCAAAAATAAAAATTTTATATTTACCGGAATCGAACCACTTAGAAAAAGCGGTTTTGTAGTATTAACACTTAGAAAAAGCTAAATCGCTGGTGTAAATACCTTATTTGAGTGAGTGGACACTTGTAGAGGTTGTTCAGCTGTTGGTCCAGATCCCTGTTCCATTCTTCAGCCTCCCTTTTGGAGATGGAGGAGAGGAAGATGGTTTTGTCGCTGAAGATGAGGTCTCTCTGCCCCACTCCGAACTGCTTAGAGTCGAACATCTTGAAGTAGTTGCGGATATCATCTGCGAATAGACGCTGGCCTAAAAAACCACAGGCATATCATGAAAAAATTAGGTTTGAAAGAGGAGCCCCTTTTTTGTTAGCCCAACTTTTTTGAGCCCAACAGTGGAAATGGTGGAGAACATTCAAGGGTTCAAAATAAGTTGAAGTTGTTTTTAACCATTTTAGGGAAAGCGCACTAAACGCTCGTAATTTTTTTTGCTTAAGATGTTACTTTTATATTTAACTTCAACTGAATCTGTCAACTGAAACTGACTCGCCTTTCTCTACTAGTTGTGTGATTTCTTTTTTCCTCTCGCTGTGAGCAGGTACCATCAGTAGATTGGCCTTCACTTCACCCCAGTTACAAGTGGAGTACTGTTCCACAGGCGCAGATCCCCCCTCGGGACAAAGAAGCACGAATTCAGATCGCAGTCGCTTGTTGAACAGCCGAAGTCGGTCTAAAAAACAAAATACATTGTGATAAGGCCAACTCAAAATAACGAAAATAGGAAAGAACCAAATTTTGAACTACGAAAAACACCAGACATTGTGATACAGCTGTCCAGAATACCAAAAAAAAAATGAAACACAATTAAAAGTGAAGGAACGCTCCAAAAAATCTCGTTTTTTGGGCAACATTATCAAATTATTCAAATTTATAACTGAAATACAGTTTTCTTAGAACAGACAGATATCATATAACTTAAACAGACATAAAAAGCTTTGAACAAAATGTGAGTCTTTTTGAGACAAAAAAATAGTCAAAATTAAAAGCTACATTTCAATAGAATGGCTTTAGAGTACTGACATGAGCTTTACTATGAAAAGTCAAATATCATCAGTGCTTTTTAACAGCATAGACAAAGGATCGTTCTCTAGAATTCAACCTGGATCTAGTTAACAACGATCTAGGTAACAAAGGGGGGGGGGATTCTTTAGTAGATACAATAGGGGGGAGATTGTTAAGCAGATCCTTCAAACTTACCCAACTTAGACAAGTCTTTGCTGGTGATCTGCTCTCTTGTAACTGTCATCTTCAAAATTGTGTCATGTCTCAGAAAAGCGACGTCTGCCCTTCCACTTTTCTGCTGTTGATTGCCTTCAGTTGAGTAATATGGCTGGCTCGACAGCCCCACAAGACACCTAACAATCAATGCAACAAATTTTAAAATTCTTTTCGAAGCGCATTGAAAATAGAGAATTGTGAAGAATAATAATGATTAATTAAACTTCAAGCCATTATGCATCTTTGATGAAAGAACCAATCTAAAACTTCATTTATATTCATTTCAAAAACACATTGGAAATTTTTTCTTTTTCATGGAATTGGAGGACTCATCCTAATTGCACAAACAACCCCCCCCCCCACCCCAAAACAATTTAGAGAGGAGATCGTGAACTTGGCTGTAACATTCTTCTTTAGCCAATTATTTTAGTGGGTAATTGAACATTCGCTTGGTTCAGGGGGACAGAAGAAATGCTCACGTGGTCCAGATATTTGGACACCGGGGAAGCACTAGCCGTCATTCTACTAATTGGTACAAAAAACCATCAATTTTTACAAATTAAATTCCACCCGTAAATCAGATTGTGGTACCTGAATGCGCCCTGTTCTCCGTAGAAGAACTCGTAGGAGGAGCTGGCGCAGTTGTCACTGCCTGTTCCATCACACAACGAACAAAGACTGCTCACATTCAGACCAGCAGGATTAGCCGAAATATCCAGAACACCTGGATTGAAAGAATGCTTAAGAATGCACTACTGGAAGAAAATGAAGAAAAAAAACTTGCTCGAATAAGGAATTCAACAGCTTCTCGCGTCTTGATAGCTGATAATCACATTTGTGACTTGAATGCAGTTTTTAAAATCATTTCGGGAGCAACATATTGCGTATTGCATAACGTATTGCTAGTAAAGGCTACCCAGCTATCGCAAGCAAAAGCCTAAGAATATAGGATTAAATTTTTTTTTACTTAACTAACAATCTTTTACAGGAAAAAAGGTAGCTCATTTTCACTTTGTCTTAGACTGTTTTTTCATTGCGATCGTCAAACTTAATTATTTGGAATGTATTTTCATCTGATAAAAGAAGAAATTTTTACGTGTCATATAGGCTTTTTTAAATAAATTGTCTAAGTTGTTTCAGGATTTTCCTCTGCCTGCTCATATAAAATTTAATCGCAATTTCCAATGACTATAAAAGAAAAATGACCATAAAAACTTTTTGCAGAAATTTTTTGCAGAAATTTTTGATTACCAATTGAAGCTCAAAAAATCCAAAAACTAGAATTACTTGGTAAAGTAAATAATTAAGTTTTACGGTCTTCAAGTGGGCATAAATTAGGCATTTTAGCTGTTGTAAGCCTGTTCACTGGTTTTATCCGCTCGATTAAGACGAAAACAAAAATTTCAAACCGATTTTTCTCGACACCAGAAAAAACTTCGGGGAGTTTTTAATGTGGTTCGAATCACGACTGAAAGGGCTTTCATATGATATATTACTAAACCTAGTCCGATAATTATTTGTGGTGCATGATTTTGCGTGTAAAACAAAAAACAAAAAAAAACTAAAACACATCCTAATACAAAGTTACTTCCCAATTTTCAAATAGACGGAACAAAAAAGAAAAACTACAACATACCCGAATACCAAGTTCCTCCCCTATTTTCAGTGGTTGTGGTTGGAACAATTAGCTCATCTTTCTGCCAGTCAATCATAAGAAACCAGTAAATCATAAATATACCAAGTATGTATGCAATAAATTCAAAGCAAAACAACAAAAAACGGTTTTTGTTGAGTTTTTGGATGCGTTTTGTTGTTTTTTAGTCGGTGAGAGGAAACTGAACGGGCTAATGAGCTTTATTAACTATTTAAAAATAGAATAAATATGGCAAAACTCCAGAAAAAATTTTAATCTGAAACGTTTAGTCTGACAAATCGTCAGTCCGAAAATGAAAAACCAGACCAAACAACTTTTTCGAATGTTTTGACATCTGAATCATTACTAGGGGTATAATAATATATGGCACTTTGCGATTTTTATGAGCTTTATTTGAGACAGACAAAACATCAAGCTGAAAAAACACAAGCCAACCCATAGTTCCTTCCCATCTTTTTAAGGGGGTGGTCGAAACTAAAGCCAACACGAACATCTAAATTTTCCCGAAGTATCAAAACATTCTCACCAGGAATGCATGAATTCCCGAAAAACCCAGCCGCTGACACCAGTGGGGACGTGCAGTCCATCTGAGTCATGAGACCCCTCCTGAGCAGAACAGAGAGGGGGATGGCGAAGGCAGAGGGGGAGTGGACCGAGGGGTGACATGACCTCGTGCCCTCCAGAGTGTCTACCGTTATGTTGCTATCTGCCCAGGCCACTGCAACTGCATAGTGGTCTAGGGGGGCTATAGTGTCACCTGAAATATCAAATAATTTGAAATAATTTCAGACTTCACAAAGCAACTAAACATATTCACTAAGGACAAATGATCATAATTACTTCTGTGTGAGGCCATTGGTTATGCATTAGAAAGAGGCCCTGGTTTATTTATGGCAAATGAATGCAATGCAATGACCCAGAATTAAATGCTCAAAACATTAAAATGTGCAATGCAAACTCGTTCATTTTCAAGTAAACGCTTGAATATAAAAAATTTTGGTTCAACTTTGAAGCAAATACTTTAAAAGCACTTTAGGAATACGACAAAAAAAGCATTTGATCAAAAATTAATTTTCTCAAAAACAGCCATTTTTAGTCTTTAAAGACAAAATTTTGCTAAAAGTTTTCAAAAGCATAGTAAACGTCAATGTACTGGATTTCGACGGGAAATTTCAGATAATACTATTAGAAAGATAAATTACTTGATAAAAAAGACCCAGAGTTCAAATATTAACGTTAAACAGTTTAAGGGGGATTTTGTTTGCTGAAAAATTGGGAAACAGGTGAAATGGAGACACTATTAATTGGGACAGGTTTCATATTTCTAATAAATTTTAATTTTCACCGAGGCGAAGGTTTGCTCCGAAAACACTAGCGAAAATACGACAAAAAGCAGCTCTATAAAGCGCAACAAGAAATTTTAAAAATGAAGCACGAGTTAGCCAAAAACCGCTATGTCTGAGATTCGACCCTGTGACCTTGCGATTCAGGGTCTCATATACTAACCACTCAGCCACAGACGCTTTTTAGTTATCAGCCACTAGCCAAAAATGAAGCAGAGAACCAATGCTATGCAATTTCCCATGCTACAGTGAAATTTCCAAATAAGTGAAAACTTTTAATGAACTTTTTTATTTGCCAGTCAGATCAGAAAAAAGATGGCTTGTAATAATACAATAAGCTGATTGCTAGTGTAAACACAAAAGTAATCGATATAATCGATAGTAATCTCAGAGCTCAGTAATTGCATATCTCATACTATTTTTGAACCAACTACAGATTTTGGCGCTGTTTTCTGCCGAATTTCTGGCGTTCTTGCATTTGTTATACGTCTGTCATTGCTTGACTTGGGCCTGCCCTAAACAACATGAACTTGACATGTGCGAGGAGTCTTCTCGTCACTCATGGCTACGGACACTACTTGGGTTTCTGTTTGAGAACTCACTCGGTTCGAGGGATATATCATATTAAAGTCCTTTCAGTCGTAATTCGAACAATATTTTAAAACTTTGAGAAATATTTCTCGGTGTCAAGAAAAACCGTTTTGAAATTTTTGATCCAATTTCAAGATACTGAGATGAGGCTGAACAGGCTTATAAACCCTTATTTATGCTTAATTTAAGCCGTGAAAACGTAGTTTTACTCGAGTAAAGTTAGGTTTTGGAGTTTTTTATGTCATTTTTCTAAAAAAAAAAAACTGATAATCCAATTGGCCTAATTATATATGAAAGTCAAGTATGTCCTGTCCAATTTCTATTTATTCGTTCAGCTTTTTTTATCACACCACGCAGAAAAAAAACGCTACTAATTTAAAAAAAAAAACAATTTTTGCAACATTCTGTGCTACTTGCACAATAACCGGCTATCCTTGTTTCATTTATGGTTTTGAAGTATGAAAAAAATATAGTTTCAAATCACCGACAATAAATTTAAAATTTTACCTCAAGGGTAATTAAATACCTATGTTCAACTGGACAAGTCAGCTCCCAATTGATCAGAACTACCCGGGCTGACAAAAACTGCCTATTAAACGTTTATACAAAACACTATAAAAATCGCTGACAATTTCATAGCATGAAAAAAACGCTTGTCATCCAACTTCATAGTATGAAAAAAAAACAATTGTCATACAATTTCATAGAACAAAAAATTTTCATGAGAAAGCATAGCAAGCATTTTTCCATACAATGAATCTTCCTTATAGACATTTTTGTTCACACTCTGGAATTAAATAACGAGCTTTTTTACATTCTTTTTGTATCAAAAATGTTATCAATTGGCAGAAGCTTTTTTAAATTTTTTTAATTAAAATTTTACCTCAAGGTTAACCAAATATGTATTTTTAACTGGACAAGTCAGCTTAATTGATCAAAACTATACGGGCTGACAAAAACTGCTTATTATACAATTATACAAAACAAAGAAAAATCAATTACAATTTCAAGGCATGAAAAAACTTTACAGTTTCATAGCATGAAACATTTTATATGAAATCCTCAAATACAATTTCAAAGCATGATTCATGCATGAAAAAACATACCATGAATAAACGAAAAATTTTTTTGAAAAAGCATAACAGGCCTTTTTCAATTGAAGGAAACTTCCTGTTAGACATTTTTGTTCACACTCTGGAACTAAATAACGAGATTTTTTAAATTCTTTTTATATCAAAAATTGTATCAAATGCAATAAGCAACTTGTTTATTATTACAATTTAGGATAAACATTTTCCATAAAATGAATCTTCCTTATAGACATTTTTGTTCACACTCTGGATTTAAATAACAAACTTTCTTACATTCTTTTTATATCAAAAACTGTATCAAATGCTATAAGCAAATTTTTCTAATTACAATTTATGATAAGCGTTTTCCATACAATGAAACTTCCTTATTTTCCATAAAATGAATCTTCCTTATAGACATTTTTGTTCACACTCTGGATTTAAACAACAAGCTTTTTCATGAGAAAGCATAACAAGCATGTTTCCATACAATGTAGTTTCATTATAGACATTTTTGTTCACACTCCGGATTTAAGTAACAAACGTTTTACATTCTTTTTTTTATCGAAAATTGTATCAAAAGGCATAAGCATTTTTTAATTAAATTTTACTTCAAGGTTAACCAAATACTTATGTTCAACTGGGCAAGTCAGCTCCCAATTGATCAAAACTACCCGGGCTGACAAAAACTGCTTGTTATACAATTACACAAAAAAAAATCAAATCCGATTTCATAGCAAGAAAAACACTTATCATACAATTTAATAGTCTGAAAAAAAAAATTTGTCATACAATTTCATAGAACAAAAAACTTTTATGAAAAAGCATAACAATCATTTTTCCATACAATGAAACTTCATTATAGACCTTTTTGTTCCCCCTCTTGAATTAAACAACGCGCTTTTTTACACTCTTTTCATATCAAAAATGTTATCATTTGGTAGAAGCTTTTTTAAATTTTTTTAAATAAAATTTTACCTCAAGGTTAACCAAATATCTATTTTTAACTGGACAAGTCAGCTCCCAATTGATCACAACTATACGGGCTGACAAAAACTGCTTATTATACAAAACAAAGAAAAATCAATTACAATTTCATTGCATGAAAAAACTTTACAGTTTCATAGCATGAAAAATTTTACATGAAAACCTCAAATACAATTTCATAGCATGATTCATGCATGAAAAAACATAGCATGAATAAACAAAAAAGTTTTATGAAAAAGTATAACAGGCATTTTTCCATAGAATGAAACTTCCTATTAGACATTTTTGTTCACACTCTGGAATTAAATAACGAGATTTTTTAAATTCTTTTTATATCAAAAATTGTATCAAATGCAATAAGCAACTTTTTTAATATTACAATTAAGGATAAGCATTCTCCATTTTCCATGCAATTGAAATTCCTTATAGAAATTTTTGTTCACACTCTGGATTTAAATAACAAGCTTTTTTACATTCTTTTTATATCAAAAACTGTATCAATTGCTATAAGCAACTTTTTCTTATTACAATTTATGATAAGCGTTTTCCATACAATGAAACTTCCTTATAGACATTTTTTGTTCATACTCTGGAATTAAATAACGAGCTTTTTTAAATTCTTTTTATATCAAAAATTGTATCAATTGCAATAACCAACTTGTTTATTATTACAATTTAGCACAAGCATTTTCCATACAATGAATCTTCCTTATAGAAATTTTGTTCCCACTCTGGAATTAAATAACGAGTTTTTTTACATTCTTTTTATATCAAAAACTGTATCAATTGCTATAAGCAACTTTTTCTTATTAAAATTTATGATAAGCGTTTTCCATACAATGAAGATTCCTTATAGACATTTTTTGTTCACACTCTGGAATTAAATAACGAACTTTTTTAAATTCTTTTATCAAAAATTGTATCGAATGCAATAAGCAACTTTTTTATGATTACTGTTTATGATAAGCATTTTCAATTTTCCATACAATTGAACTTCCTTATAGACATGTTTGTTCACACTCTGGAAACAAAAAACGCGCTTTTTTACATTCTTTTTATTTAAAAAATGTTATCAAATGGCAGATGCTTTTTTAAAATTTTTTAATTAAAATTTTACCTCAAGGTTAACCAAATATCTATTTCTAACTGGACAAATCAGCTCCCAATTGATCAAAACTATACGGGCTGACAAAAACTGCTTATTATACAATTATACAAAACAAAGAAAAATCAATTACAATTTCAAGGCATGAAAAAACTTCACAATTTCATAGCATGAAACATTTTATATGAAATTCTCAAATACAATTTCAAAGCATGATACATGCATGAAAAAAAATAGCATGAATAAAAAAAAATTTTTATGAAAAAGCATAACAGGCCTTTTTCAATAGAAGGAATTTTCCTGTTAGACATTTTTGTTCACACTCTGGAACTAAATAACGAGATTTTTTAAAGTCTTTTTTTATCAAAAATTGTATCAAATGCAATAAGCAACTTGTTTATTATTACAATTTAGGATAAGCATTTTCCATAAAATGAATCTTCCTTATAGACATTTTTGTTCACACTCTGGATTTAAATAACAAGCTTTCTTACACACTTTTTATATCAAAAACTGTATCAAATGCTATAAGCAACTTTTTCTAATTACAATTTATGATGAGCGTTTTCCATACAATGAAACTTCCTTATAGACATTTTTGTTCACATCTGGAATTAAATAACGAGCTATTTTAAATTTTTTCATCAAAAATTGTATCAAA